CCAACCTCAGGTGATCTACCCGCCTTGGCCTCCCAAAGTGCTGGGATTACAGGCGCGAGCCACTGCGCCCAGCCTATTTGTGGCTCCTTTTATTAGGTGGTAGCTGTTACCATTTAAAGAAATTAATCTTTCAGGCTTTGGATTAGTTGCTAGCACCACTAATTATTGGTTGACAATAAGAGCAGAAAATCTAGGTGAGGATGGTTCTCTGTTCTTTTGTGAGGTTGTAGCAAAGCAAGAGTACACATGGATCACCTCTAAACAATGCCGCATTTCTTGCATCCTTAATGAGAAATGATGCAGAAGAGATGATGGGGATTTGTCTCAGCTCGTTTTGCTTTGGTCTTCACTGCTGCTACTCCTTTCATATGGGCTAATTCCAAGGGGGATTTCAGGCCTAAAGTATCATGAAGTCTGAAGTCTGAGAATCTGATGGAATGATTGATGATGCCATTGATGATTCCATTAATCCTTGATGATTAATATTCCAGGCACAAATGTGGCAGGGCAGATGAATGGGTCCAGAGAAATGATAATGAAAATTAAGACTTTGAGGTTAGCAGTGTAGTTCAGTTCAGCAAACATTTATCGAGAGGACACTAGGTTTCAGAAAGGGATGAAAAAGCCAAGGTTCCTGCTTTTGAGTAGCTCACAGTGCACTGAAGGAGCCAGATATGGGAATAAATCATTTCAGGAGACTGGATGAATGTTCACAAAAGTGAGCACAGTTTGAGGAGTGGCTAAAAATCATTCTGCATCATCTTTTTTTTTTTTTTTTTTTTTGAGACAGAGTCTTGCTCTGTCGCCCAGGCTGGAGTGCAGTGGTGCGATCTCGGCTCACTGCAAGCTCCGCCTCCCGGGTTCACGCCATTCTCCTGCCTCGGCCTCCCGAGTAGCTGGGACTACAGGCGCCGGCCACCTCGCCCGGCTAATTTTTTTGTATTTTTAGTAGAGACGGGGTTTCACCGTGTTAGCCAGGATGGTCTCGATCTCCTGACCTCGTGATCAGCCCGCCTCAGCTCACAAAGTGCTGGGATTACAGGCGTGAGCCACCGTGCCTGGCTTGCAAAATCTTAATAATCTTTAGATTGGTAGTGTTCTCAGTTATGTAAAGTGGGTATAAACCTCAGAGTGCATGGTTAAAACTGTCCGCCTCTAGCTGACCCCCATAAGTAGAATCATAGCACTAGAAGCACTTGGGAGATTATATGTTCATTTTCATACAGAGGCCCTCAGTGTCTGAATGTTCTTTTCACTTATTGTCATAGGGAAGAGTTGTAGGTAAATGAATTCTTGATTTCATAGAATATTTATTTGTCACTCAGAGCTGTACCAGGTGCCAGAACATAACAATGAATAAGAGACAGTTCTCTTGATCTCAAATTGCTCAGTCTAGAAGGATTGAATGGAGACCAACAAGCTAATGGACACTTAAAATGCAGGATAATTAGTGTTCTAGAACTATGCACATAGTGGTATAGAAACATACTAAGGGCACCTACATAGGTCTGCAGGAGGCAGGGAATGGCTTCACAGGAATGTTTGGATTGAGGCTTCTAGAATGAGTCAAGTATATTCCTAGGAGAGGGCATTCCATGAAGACAAATGGCAGTGCAAAGGAATGCAGCTATAAGAGCATGGCATGCTCAGGACCTCCTAAGCTTACCATGGAACTGAGCATAGAGGTGGGAAAGGGGCAGACAGTACAGGCTGATCATAAAGGTCGGCCGGATGCAGAAAGAATCCAGCCAGATCTTTGTCCTCAAGGAGCCCCTGAAGAGTATTACGCAAGTTAGTGACATGACCAGATTTATCACTCTACAACAAAAGCAAAGGCCGAAGGCAGGGAGGCCAGAAGGCTACTGTGGCCATCCAAGCAAGATGCAAGGGGGGCCTGTAATAGGGCAGTGTGGCAGAAGAGACTGGCATGGGGCGAGGGGTGTGTGTGAGATACCTGTTGGTCCCCAAGTTCAGTTGGATATAGATAGTTAGACAGAGGAATGCCCAGGATTCTGGTGTGCACCAGTGCATGAGTAGATTGGGGTGCCATTTATTGAGACAATGGACATAGGAAAAGGAGGAAGATTGAGGGTATTGATTTCAGTTTGTGACTTTTGGGGTGCTAGGATCCAGAAAGTAGATTACTAGTAAATAGTTGACTATGTTGGTTTGGTGATCAGGAAACAGGCTTAGGCACAAGAGATACACATTGGAGAATTAACAGCATGTAGGTAGTAGATGAAACCTGGGTAAGGAGATGGAGGAATAATTGGCAAAAAGTCAGGAAAAGCAGTTTGGAGCTATGTTGTAAAGGGCCTTGAACCATCTCAGAAGGTTTTGCAAGGTGAGACTGCTTTGGGTAAAGAGACTGCTCAAGTAGGACCTGTATTAGAGCCTCATTTATTAAATAAACATGAATGGAGCATGTTCTGTGGCTTGACACAGGGGTGAGCACAGTGAGAAAACAAGCACAGTCTGTCTTTGCCCTTATGCACTTTATCCACTTAAGTGGAGAATCATGTATTTAATTAATTTCCACAATGGTAAGTGCTACAAAAGAAAAGCATAGGGTGATTTAACAGTACAGAATGAGGGCGGGAAAGCTGACACTTGGTCTGTGGGGTCAGAGAAGGCAGCCTCAAGGAAGTGACATTTCAGCTGGACTTAAAGGGTGAGTAGGCAAGCTCCAGAGAAAGGATAGGGACAGCTCTCCAAAGAAAAGAGGACCTGAAGGATGCCCTCGTGGCCTGAGGGAGCTGGGTGGTTGCAGTAACATGGTGACAAGTGACCCGCTACGCATAGCACTCTTGAGAGATTCTTCAAGAGCTGTGCAGCTACCACACTTCCCGCCTGTAGGTAGACACCTCAAGGACTTGGGTTTGTAAATCCAGGTCTGCTTCAAAGAGAAGCATTTTATAGCAGCAGCATCCTCTAGTGAGCAGCAAACTGCTGTCAAGAGGGGCTCCTTTCCCTGGCAGCCACCTGGCCCTGAAGCAGCTCCAGAACACTGTCTCAGAGCCCATTGCAGGGCATTAATTGACAAGGAGGTGATTTTGTGCACGATGAAGACATTGAGAGTTGTCTGAATTTGGACAGGCTGCTCAAGCAGAAAAGAGAGACAGAGTAGTTGAGCAGCCAAGAAATCAATGTGTTTGGTCAACACAGGTCACCTGGGAGTGTAACATTTGCATTCACCAGCAGCAGCAGAATGTGCCTCTTCAGAACTGGCATGTCAAGGAATTAGCTCAAGAGTCAGCATCCAACCTTGGCATATTTTGGTCCCGATGTGGTTCTTTTGTGAAACACAACAAAGCAATTGAGAAAATAACCTTGGAAGGAAACTTGATTGATTTTTCAAAGAAAGCAAAAACTCATATGAAAATTTATCTTAAGTCTATTAAAGCTATCCTCCTAGGCAGTTTGTAAGAGAAACTAAACTAGATTGCAATTCCATTTTGCAAAAAGCCTTTAATGTGTTTTCTCACATTTTTGGCCTTTGTTTCAGTTGTATCTGTCAGGTTGTTTTATTAGGTGAAAAAATAGCAGACCAGCTGCTTTGATTTACTGTTGTTTTTCTCCTATTGATGCTGAGTGCATCATTATGTTCTTTCCAGCTTCCAAATACATATATGGAAGTAATAATCTGTTTCATTCAAGCTAATGATTTAAAGATTAAATATGGGTTCTTCCACTTTTTTTGTTAAACAGAACATTAAGAATTTCCAAAAGTTTAATACCTAGCTTTACCGCTTATTAACAATGGTTTGTTTTGAGCCTCTGTTTTCTCATCTGTGAAATGGGAATAAATAAACCTGCTTCACTTACTGAAGAAGATGTTTTGGAAAGTGAATGAGATAATGCATGAAGGAGTGTGTTATAAACTGTGTCACACCATCCACATGTTAGGTATTAATATACTGATTATCACTATGACTAATAAGAAAATTATTCACACTAGGATGTAAAGTCTTTTTATATCTTCCATGAAAATTATTTATGTATGTGCTCTTTATTACTCTTTTCTGTCTCAATTTTCACAGGCACACATAAGAACAGCATCATAGTGACATGGGAAGGGGTGTACATCCCCCTCGCATTTTCCAGAGAGAAACAGAAAAGTATTTTGTGATTGTTAAAGACATTGTAATGTACTTAAAATCAGACATCAAACAGTGGAACATATATCACAGTTTTCCTTTTGTTCAATGACAATGTAAAAATCAAATCATGTGGAGATGTGTCTTAGCCTGCTCTGGTTGCTGTAACAAAATACCATAGGCTGGATGACTTAAAGAACAGAAATGTATTGTTCACAATTCTGGAAGCTGGGAAGTCTAAAATCAAGGCACTAGCAGATTCAGTGTCTAGTGATAGCTTGTTCCTCCTAGATGGCGCCTTCTGGCCATGTCCTCATACGGTGGAAGGGACAAGCAAGCCTTCTCAGCCTCTTTCGAAGGGCACTAATCCCATTCATGAGGGTTTGGGATCTAATCGCCACCTAAAGGCCCCACCTCCTAATACTATTGCATTGGAAATTAGGTTTTAACATATAAATTTTGAGGGGTCACAAACATTCAGACTACAGCATGAAGACTGGAAAGTCCAAGGTCAACATTCCAGCAGGGCTCATTTTGTGGTGAGGGCTCTCTTCCTGGCTTGCAGACAGCTACCTTCTTCTGTGTGCTCACATGGCAGAGAGAGATAGGATCTCTAGGGTTTCTTCCTCTTTTATAGGGACATTAGTTCTGTCAGATCAGGACATCCTTATGATCACATTTAACCTTAATAACCACACATGGGTGGTTAGAGCATCAACATGTGAATTTTAAGGGGAACACAATTCAGTCTCTAGAAAGATGAAAAAAGAGAGAAGAAAATGAATACTAAAAGAATTTGGATAGTATAGCATTGTTCATGCATTAAAAGAAACACCCGTGGTTAACGTGTAGTAGCAAGAATAATTTTTCTCCTTTCTGGTCACATCATACTCTCTTTTTCAGGTGACTGTGACGGATGGTGGTCCCTCTCCAAAACAGTCAACCATCTGGGTGGTGGTTCAGGTTCTAGATGAAAATGACAACAAGCCCCAGTTCCCAGAGAAGGTCTACCAGATCAAGCTGCCGGAACGTGACCGAAAGAAGAGAGGAGAACCCATTTACAGGGCTTTTGCATTTGATAGAGATGAGGGCCCCAACGCAGAAATCTCCTACAGTATTGTGGATGGGAATGACGACGGAAAGTTCTTTATTGACCCTAAAACTGGGATGGTTTCTTCTAGAAAGCAGTTTATAGCAGGGAGTTATGACATCCTAACGGTAAGACCTTCCAAACTCCAGCAGCACGGCGGATGGGGGGAAGTGGTTATGTTCTTATTCGAGTATACTCCTTTGAGCAATAAATCTTTAGAGTAAAAAGTGAAACCACACATCTGTGGAAGGGTTCTTTCTGGGAGGCAAGTGCAGGTGAGAACTCTTGCCTGTTTCACTGATATTCTTAAATGACGAGACAATTTCCTTTGGTTGTGTCCTGTCAGCATTTTCCCCCATTCCCAGGCCACAGCCTGTTTCACCACATACTCAACCACTCTTTCTGCAGCCCTAAATCATCCTCAAAGTGCTGAACATAGATGTAAACTAAAGGTAGGGGAACAGCAGGGCAACACATCCTACCCACCACTGAACATATCTCTCACCATGTCCCCGTGACTTCCCATAGAAAACAACCTTGAAATTATCAACAATGAGATAGAGCATGGATATAGCTGTGTAAATTGTGAGACACAAATCACAATGATGTTTATTCCATCAAAACTGGGAAAACTCACGTATAAAGTGACTGAATTTTTTATTAAATTAGAAAAGTAAAAACAAGCATGAGAACCATCTCATGTAGAAACTTAAAGCTCCTGTATCTACAGTGCCAGTGTGCTCCCCCGACTCCAACCACTTTAGCCAGGCAGTGCCTATTCCAGAAAGGCAGCTGGTATCCTTACAAGCAATGAGCATGGTCCAGGGTCCCAACAACTACCAAAAGTTGGCACCGGCTGGGCACAGTGGTTCATGCCTATAATCCCAGCACTTTGGGAGGCCGAGGCAGGCGGATCACTTGAGGTCAGGAGTTTCAGACCAGCCTGGCCAACATGGTAAAACCCTATCTCTACCAAAAATTAAAAAAAAAAATTAGCTGGGCATGGTGGTGCATGCCTGTAATCCCAGCTGCTCAGGAGGCTGAGGCAGGAGAATCACTTGAACCCAGGAGGCAGAGGTTGCAGTGAGCCGAGATCACATCACTGCACTCCAACCT